CAATGAGCACTCCGCCTTCGAGCGGTGCATCAAGGAGAAGCGCAACTAGGATGAGCGGGGCAAGTACCGCGAGAAAAGCCCCGGCGCCAAGAAGGGGTTCTGCTCGAACTGGGCTGGCAAGAGTGCAAACGTGTTGAGCGAGAAGCTGAACCAGACCGAGGTGTTGCCTCATGTCGATTGCGCCAAGACGCCCTACATATCCCTGGCGCATATCATCGACAAGGAGAAGGGCGAGACGGTGGGAGCCAACGTATGAACGTGCTGCGTCGAGCTCTGGGCGCCCTTCGTCAAGCGCGACAAGATCGGGAAGTGTCTGCGTTTCGCTCGCAGCAAGGAGGGCTTCGCCGAGCAGCTGGCCAAGGCGCGGGGGGTGAAGCAGGAGCTGGGCGACGAGGGCGACGGGGCGAAGCGGCCTGGGGAGGGGGCTGTCAAGGCCGCGGCTAAGGCCACGGCTGCAACTGCTGCCAAAGAAACGACTGCAGCTGCAAAGGCCGCCGCGCTCAAGGACATGGGCAGCGAGAAGAGGAAGGCGGAGGGCGATCTTCCAGAGGGCGATGAGGGGGGGGGAGGGGCCCGACAGGAAGGGCGCGGCTGCGGCTGGCAAACAGCTCAGGGACCTCGTTTCGAGCTGGCGCAATTCGATCGGGGGCGCGACCGAGAATCTGAAGGCGGTGAAGGAGGAAGGGGCTGGGTGGAAGGGGTGGCTGGACGTGGCGCCCCCCGCGGCCCCGGCGCCGACGTCGGCGTCGGAGGCGGAGAGGGCCGCCTGCCCGAGCACCTTGCAGAAGGTTATGATCACCAACGACGTCGAGGATGTGAAGAAGACCTCGGGCAAGGCGGCGCTCGCGAAGTAGGTGAGAGACCGCTGCATCAATCCCCCGTTGGACAAGGTCGCTACGCAGTGCACGAGCATTGCCAACGTGCACGCAGCGCACCTCAGGAGGCAGGCCGCGGTGGCTGGCGCCGCCTGATGATGGCCGCGGGAAGGCCGACGTGATTTCAATCACCTGAGCGGCCAGTGCGAGGGGCGAATGCCTGGGCGCCGAGCGCAAAGCTGGGGGCGAGTGAGTCGACGACTGTGTTTTTGGTGGGCGACGGGGCACCGATGAGTCACCGATGAGTTTGACCGATGAGTTCTCCGATGAGATCACCGATGAGTTCTCGATGTTCCCAGTGACATACGACAAAATCGACCGATGAGTTCACCGGGAGGGGGAAGTTCTTTGATGATTCACCGATGAATTTCGACGAGTGCTGCGCGGGCCTCGAACGAGATCGACGCGCCTCGATTTCAAGAGGCGTCGACCTAGAATGGGCCAGCCGCGGCGCAATGCAGCGTCGAGCCCGACGATTTTCTGCACTCCGAAGTAGGAGATGCCCAACTTGCTGCGCTAGGAAATAGATCGCAAGCACCAGCCACTGCGGATAAGGGCAAGGGGCTGCGAGGGAGGGCATGGTCTCCCCGCGTGGACCGCCCGTATGGCCCCTTCGCCTGGTCCTCCCGCGCGGCCCCCCCGGCATGGCCCCCGCGCGCGGCCCCCTCGCATGGCGCCGACAGAACGGCGCCCACCGGGGCAAAGTTATACCGTTTGGCACACCGTCGCACTGACAGCGCATCCGCGCGCACGCCATTGTTGCCGCCCACTGGGTCAGATGAAGGGAGGGGGGGGTGGGGGGGGGCGAGGGGGAAGGAGGGGGGGGGGGAGTAAGGTGGCAGGGAGGAAAGAAGAGAGGAGGAACATCCTTTTTTGCACGTGTAAGTGGACAGGGCGGGGGGGTCGGGCCTTCTCGGCGGAAGTCGACCCTTGGGCGGGCGGGGGCCGCTGGGGGGCGGCGGCGCCCCCAGCGACGGCGATGTCGGACCAGCCCCTCGCGTCGGGAAAGTAATGCGAGGTCCTGGCAGACATGAAGGATCCACCAGTAACCCCCCATGCATTCCCAATGCCGCCGCGCTGGCCGAATGGCCCCAGGGCAGCGCGCCAACGCGCGGCCGCTTCGACGCGCGGGGCTGATGAAGCGTTGAAGCGGCGCCAACAGGCGCCAGATAGCAACGCCCCCGTTGTTTTCCCAAATGGCCTGGGCGGATCTTCCATCCTGAACTTTGCGATTGCGTCTGACTTGGTCACAAAAGGGATGCGTTTCTGAGGGCCCCCCCAAGGTTGACTGGCGAGACGATGAGGCAGTTCTCTGCTAAGATAACGGGTCAGATGATCCAATCCGTGAGGACAGCGATTGTTTTATCCTTGGAAGAGTAGTCGAACCGTCGTCCAGTGGATTTCACCTTTGGAGAGTAATCCTTGGAAGTGTAATCGTGATTCCACTGGTGCGCATGTGCGTATCAATGGAAGCTGACATCCAGTCTTCATATTCGCCCCATCATCTTCGAGCGCGTCAGATAGTTTGATTGAAGCACGTGGCCGACGCGCATGTAACCCGCTTCTCCTGCAATTGAAGCATCGCGTTGAGGCAGATACCAAAACCCGGCGAGGATGCGCGGCCTGCTCGCAGGACATAATTTTCGAGCAGCTCTCACAGAGATGAGTCTCGAAGACGAGGCAACAACGCGGACCGACGATTGGATTGTCAAGAAGGTCGTGGATGGAAAGGAGACACTTGCGAGAATCGAGAATCGGTAAATCCCGCAACCGGACGTCCGTGGTGATCTGAAGGAGGCCGCTCCAGCATCGTTAATAGCAGGCTTTGCAAGCCTGTTCGCGCAGCACGGAACGCCCAGGAGGCCAGCCCCATGCTGGGGTCTCGCCGCGGGAAGTTGAAAGGGCAGAGAAGGGTTGTCCGTTCAAGCATGCTCGATCTTCGGGCGACGAAGCAGACGCTGAGCCGCAGGTGGGCGAAGCACGCGACTTGGGGGTCACATGGGGTTCTGCCCACGCGGCTACACCCGCTTCGAGTGGCGGGGGGGGTGTCATGGGACGCGTCCGGGCCATCGCTAATCTCGTGGGTTTCCACAAACCAGTGCACCTCAGAGAGGAGATGCGAAACCCGCCTCGTGCTGGGCGTACGGCCGAGGGAAAGGCGACGCACTTCGGCGTGGCGGACAGGGGCACAGTATGCCGACGGATCTTGAATAGCCAGCTCGAGACAAGTGCGAAGAGAAGGAATGAACCTGCGACATAAACGTTCCGAAGTGCGAGAGAAGGCTGCAAAATAGCATGTCGGCGCTAGTGGTGCACCACCTGCGAGCTGAACCCCGAAATTGGAAGGGAATGGCTGCGGTGGAAAGAAAGGAAAGGGTGAGAAGAAGCCTTGGTACATCGCTGAAGTTTGTCCGCGCTGTAAAAAAAAAGGCTTCTTTGGTGTTTCCGCTCTTGGTCACCCATGACGCTCGCGCGCAGCCTCTGGGAGTCTTTCTTCGGTGGCTGCGCTGACCGGAGAAGATGCGCAAGTCCCGTCAGCCATGGGTAGGATGATATCGGGAAGCGGTCGCATGTGTTGATTGACTCCGGGCTCCTTAAAGTGTGCGCGGGGTGGTCCAGCTAGCTTTGCCTGAGACATCCTTGCCGCTCTGGGCTCTCAGAAGATGCGCACGAGGTGGTCTGGCGCGTGTCGCTGGAGAAACCCTCGCAACTGGGCTACGAAATGCCGCGCCAGAGGTGGTCTGGCCCGTTTCGCTCGAGGCATCCTCGAAATTCGGGGCTCCGACGGGGAGGAGAGAGGAGAGAGGATAGGCCAGACCCAAACGACCCATTTAATGACACTTCGGTTGTCGAATTGTGCTCTTGGGAAGGTCTGGGTGCCCCTTGCTCGATAGACGCGAGCACGATCTTTGGTACATTACAGGGCTGATCAGGGAGGAGCCATGCTGGAGCAAATCGGGGCGATGCCTCGACTTGAGCGCGGCGGGAAGGGACGATACTGTATGGGGGAGGAGGAAATGACACGAAACGGACTCCGAGATTCTCCGCGAGAGGAAGATTGGAAGAGGGAAGTGGGTCCAGACTCAAACGCTACCCGTTTGAAGGCATCCCTGACGAGGGCCCCTATTGGAAGCGACATCAAGAGTGCGAAGGCATCTTTGGCTTGGCGGGGGAAACAGACAAGAGGAGTGAAGAGGAGGAAGAGGACCCGGGGGAGGTGGAGGAGGAGGAGGAGGAGAAGGAGGAGGAGGAAAGGCAGGAACAGGAAAAGCAGGAGGAACAGGAGGACGAGGGGGAAAAGGAGGAGGAGGAAGAAGAGGACGAGGAGGAACAGGAACATGAGCGGGAGTAAGAGAGAAGGGGATCAGGACGAGGAGGTGCAGTGGAAACAGTGGGCGAGGGCGAGAAGGAGAAGTCTGCGGATGCGGGGGAGGACGACGACGACGATCACGAAAAGCTAGACGACGACGCCGAAGGTGCAAGCGGATCAGAAGCAGGAGAATGCGCGAACACTCTCAGGAGCCACCTTGGCAAAAAAAACGCTGTTCGTGGATACTGGACTCTGGTTATCATCATTGTTTTCCTGTTCCAGCCGTCCCTCGTACCCATCGTCTATGTCGTTGTCATGTTGTCGGCCCCCCTGCCGGTGCTCATCGTCCTCGTTGTCGTCGCCGTGTTCTCGCCCTTGCTCCTCGCTAGCGTGGTCGTCACCCTCATCTTTCATTTACTCGTTTTCTTTTCCCTCCTGGACCTCGGCCTGGTCAGTGTCCTTGTCGGTCTCGTGATCTTGGGTCCTTCTCGTCTATTCCCCCCCTCCACCTCTCCATCTTTCCCATGATCAGTTTTTCTAATTCCTGCTGACGAGGAGAGAGGAGGGGAGGAGGAGGCAGATGAGGCGGAGAAGGGTAACGGAGAGGTGGGGCGTACAGCGCAGAGGGGGGACGGGCCAGATAGGGAGATGGAGTCAGGGTGGGGGGATGTAGGGACTATGATCGGAGATGAGACAGGAGATGGGGGAGATGAAAGTGGTAGGAGGAGCAGGATAAGGAAGAGGAGGCAGATGCCGAGGAGGATCTGGAGACGAAGCACGGGCGGGCCCTACCCCCCCCCTCCGCCGCAGCAGAGGACGGGCTTGCGGCTTGCCGCCGGTGCGCCGAGAGGGGCATGAAGGCCGCTGGGGCCTCCCTTGCTGAAGCATGCCGTGGGGTCATCAGCTCGCATCGCCACTGCGGGCCGGCGCGCCGCTGGCCGCCAGACGTCGCCTCCAGAGCAAGCAAGCGATGGGAGAGACACCGACGCAAGGAGAAGGAGGGGACAGGCACAGCCTCAAACGCTGGAGCCTTCCTCCCCTTCCTCTCGGGCGAGGAAATCTGCACGCCCTCCTGGCCGAGCCAGGAGGGCGAGGCGTGAGCACCGCTGCTGGATTCAGGATAGGCCCTGCCAGGCAGCAGTGGACATGCACAGATTGCGTCGCCCTATCCCCCATAGCCGTCACCGCCTGCCACTAGGGGGGGGGGGGGGGGGCGCGGCGGAAGCGTGCAGCATCCGCAGAGGCCCAGCCCGAGCTCTTCCCTGCCCCTCCTGTCGGAGGAGGGCCCGTGGAGGCAACGGCGGCTCTGCCGCTGGGCACGGATCCGCTCAGAATCGGCCCTCGGACCCCATGATGGCGCCAAGAAGGCCCCAGGAGCCTCTTGGGCCCTCTTGGTGCCCCCTTGAGGCGGTCTTTGCGGCATCGTGGGCCGTTTGCAACGCCGTGAAGGCCGAAGAGGCGTAGATGCCAAACATATACGTGTTCCCATAGGAATGGGGCGATTTTGGCCCTTCGGGCCTCTCTTCGCAAGCCCGGTAGAAGCCTCTTGGACCGTCTTGGCGGCCTTTCGGGTCGTGTTGGGCCCATCTTGGGCGCCTTGGAACGATCATTCGGCGTTTTCGTTGCTCTCTTGGGACGCCTGGGGGGTGTCTTGGGAGGCTCCAAGCGGAGCTTGGGCAGCCCAGACGGGGCCTCTTCGGCCTTTTGGGGACTTCGTGGGCCCTCTCGGGAGCCTCTTGGAGCGGAAGGCTCTAAATTTTGGTTCCCATCCCTGTTTGGCCACTCTTGGGGCCGACTTCGAGCCCTATTGGGCCTTCTTGGGCGCATCTTGGGTCGTCTTGGCGCTGGGTTGGGCCCTTTTGGGAACCTCTTGGGCCCTCTTGGTGTCCCCTTGAGGCGGTCTTTGCGGCATCGTGGGCCGTTTGCAACGCCGTGAAGGCCGAAGAGGCGTAGATGCCAAACATATATGTGTTCCCATAGGAATGGGGCGATTTAGGCCCTTTGGGCCTCTCTTCGCAAGCCCGTTAGAAGCCTCTTGGACCGTCTTGGCGGCCTTTCGGGTCGTGTTGGGCCCATCTTGGGCGCCTTGGAACGATCATTCGGCGTGTTTTTTGCTCTCTTGGGACGCCTGGTGGGTGTCTTGGGAGGCTCCAAGCGGAGCTTGGGCAGCCCAGACGGGGCCTCTTCGGCCTCTTGGGGACTTCGTGGGCCCTCTTGGGAGCGTCTTGGAGCGGAAGGCTAGAAATTTTGGTTCCCATCCCTGTTTGGCCACTCTTGGGGCCGACTTCGAGCCCTCTTGGGCCTTCTTGGGCGCATCTTGGGTCGTCTTGGCGCTGGGTTGGGCCCTTTTGGGAACCTCTTGGGCCCTCTTGGTGCCCCCATTGAGGCGGTCTTTACGGCATCGTGGGCCGTTTGCAACGCCGTGAAGGCCGAAGAGGCGTACATGCCAAACATATACGTGTTCCCATAGGGATGGGGCGATTTTGGCCCTTCGGGCCTCTCTTCGCAAGCCTGTTAGAAGCCTCTTGGACCGTCTTGGCGGCCTTTCGGGTCGTGTTGGGCCCATCTTGGGCGCCTTGGAACGATCATTCAACGTTTTTTTTGTTCTCTCTTGGGACGCCTGGGGGGTGTCTTGGGGGGCTCCAAGCGGAGCTTGGGCAGCCCAGACGGGGCCTCTTCGGCCTCTTGGGGACTTCGTGGGCCCTCTCGGGAGCGTCTTGGGGCGGAAAGCTCGAAATGTTGGTTCCCATCCCTGTTTGGCCACTCTTGGGGCCGATTTCGAGCCCTCTTGGGCCTTTTTGGGCGCATCTTGGGTCGTCTTGGCGCTGGGTTGGGGCCTTTTGGGAACCTCTTGGGCCCTCTTGGTGCCCCCTTGAGGCGGTCTTTGCGGCATCGTGGGCCGTTTGCAACGCCGTGAAGGCATAAGAAGCGTAACTGCCAAACATGTATGTGTTCCCATAGGAATGGGGCGATTTTGGCCTTTTGGGCCTCTCTTCGCAAGCCTGTTAGAAGCCTCTTGGACCGTCTTGGCGGCCTTTCGGGTCGTGTTGGGCCCATCTTGGGCGCCTTGGAACGATCATTCAACGTTTTTTTTTGTTCTCTCTTGGGACGCCTGGGGGGTGTCTTGGGGGGCTCCAAGCGGAGCTTGGGCAGCCCAGACGGGGCCTCTTGGGGACTTCGTGGGCCCTCTCGGGAGCGTCTTGGGGCGGAAAGCTCGAAATGTTGGTTCCCATCCCTGTTTGGCCACTCTTGGGGCCGATTTCGAGCCCTCTTGGGCCTTCTTGGGCGCATCTTGGGTCGTCTTGGCGCTGGGTTGGGCCCTTTTGGGGACCTCTTGGGCGCTCTTGGTGCCCCCTTGAGGCGGTCTTTGCGGCATCGTGGGCCGTTTGCAACGCCGTGAAGGCCGAAGAGGCGTAGATGCCAAACATATACGTGTTCCCATAGGAATGTGGCGATTTTGGCCCTTTGGGCCTCTCTTCGCAAGCCTGTTAGTAGCCTCTTGGGCCGTCTTGGCGGCCTTTCGGGTCGTGTTGGGCCCATCTTGGGCGCCTTGGAACGATCATTCGGCGTGTTTTTTGCTCTCTTGGGACGCCTGGGGGGTGTCTTGGGGGGCTCCAAGCGGAGCTTGGGCAGCCCAGGCGGGGCCTCTTCGGCCTCTTGGGGACTTCGTGGGCCCTCTTGGGAGCGTCTTGGAGCGGGGGGGCTCGAAATTTTGGTTCCCATTCTTGCTTGGCCACTCTTGGGGCAGACTTCTAGCCCTCTTGGGCCTTATTGGGCGCATCTTGGGTCGTCTTGGCGTTGGGTTGGGCCCTTTTGGGGACCTCGTGGGCCCTCTTGTTGGCGCTCCCTTGAGGCGGTCTTTGCGGCGTCGCGGGCCGTTTGCAACGCCGTGGAGGCAGACGAGGCGCATCTGCCAAACCTATACGTGCTCCAATAGGAATGGGGCGGTTTTGGCCCTTTGGGCCTCTCTTCGCAAGCCTGTTAGAAGCCTCTTGGACCGTCTTGGCTGCCTTTCGGGTCGTGTTGGGCCCATCTTGGGCGCCTTGGAACGATCATTCGGCGTGTTTTTTGCTCTCTTGGGACGCCTGGGGGGTGTCTTGGGGGGCTCCAAGCGGAGCTTGGGCAGCCCAGGCGGGGCCTCTTCGGCCTCTTGGGGGCCGTGGGCCCTCTTGGGAGCGTCTTGGAGCGGAGGGCTCGAAATTTTGGTCCCCATTCTTGTTCGGCCACTCTTGGGGCCGACTTCGAGCCCTCTTGGGCCTTCTTGGGCGCATCTTGGGTCGTCTTGGCGCTGGGTAGGGCCCTTTTGGTAACCTCTTGGGCCCTGTTGGCGCCCCCTTGAGGCGGTCTTTGCGGCGTCGTGGGCCGTTTGCAACGCCGTGAAGGCCGAAGGAGTGTATCTGCCAAACATATACGTTTTCCCATGCGAATGGGGCGATTCTGGCCCTTTGGGCCTCTCTTCGCAAGCCTGTTAGAAGCCTCTTGGGCCGTCTTGGCGGCCTTTCGGGTCGTGTTGTGCCCATCTTGGGCGCCTTGGAACGGTCGTTCGGCGTTTTTTTTGCTCTCTTGGGGCGCCTGGGGGGTCTTGGGAGGCTCCAAGCGGAGCTTGGGCAGCCCAGACGGGGCCCCTTCGGCCTCTTGGGGGCTTCGCGCGCCCTCTCGGGGGCGTCTTGGAGCGGAAGGCTCGAACTTTTGGTTCCCATCCCTGCTTGGCCACTCTTGGGGCCGACTTCGAGCCCTCTTGGGCCTTCTTGGGCACATCGTGGGTCGTCTTGGCGCTGGTTTGGGCCCTTGGGGACCTCTTGGGCCCTCTTGGTGCCTCCTTGAGGCGGTCTTTGCGGCATCGTGGGCCGTCTGCAACGCCGTGTGGAGGCCGAAGAGGCGTATGTGCCAAGCATATACGTGTTCCCATAGGAATGAGGCGATGTTGGCCCTTTGGGCCTCCTTCGCAAGCCTGTTAGAAGCCTCTTGGACCGTCTTGGCGGCCTCTCGGGTCGTGTTGGGCCCATCTTGGGCGCCTTGGAACGGTCGCTCGGTGTTTTTTTTGCTCTCTTGGGGCGCCTGGGGGGTGTCTTGGGAGGCTCCAAGCGGAGCTTGGGCAGCCCAGACGGGGCCTCTTCGGCCTCTTGGGGACTTCGCGGGCCCTCTCGGGGGCATCTTGGAGCGGAAGGCTCGAAATTTTGGTCCCCATCCCTGTTTGGCCACTCTTGGGGCCGACTTCGAGCCCTCTTGGGCCTTCTTGGGCGCATCTTGGGTCGTCTTGGCGCTGGGTTGGGCCCTTTTGGGAACCTCTTGGGCCCTCTTGGCGCCCCCATTGAGGCGGTCTTTGCGGCGTCGCGGGCCGTTTGCAACGCCGTGAAGGCCGAAGAGGCGTATGTGCCAAACGTATACGTGTTCCTTTAGGAATGGGGCGATTTTGGCCCTTTGGGCCTCTCTTCGCAAGCCTGTTAGACGCCTCTTGGACCGTCTTGGCTGCCTTTCGGGTCGTGTTGGGCCCATCTTGGGCGCCTTGGAACGATCATTCGGCGTTTTTTGCTCTCTTGGGACGCCTGGGGGGTGTCTTGGGAGGCCCCGGGCGGAGCTTGGGCAGTCCAGACGGGGCCTCTTCGGCCTCTTGGGGACTTCGTGGGCCCTCTTGGGAGCATCGTGGAGCGGAAGGCTCGAAATTTTGGTTCCCATCCCTGCTTGGCCACTCTTGGGGCCGACTTCGAGCCCTCTTGGGCCTTCTTGGGCGCATCTTGGGTCGTCTTGGCGCTGGGTTGGGCCCTTTTGGGAACCTCTTGCGCCCTCTTGGTGCTCCCTTGAGGCGGTCTTTGCGGCATCGTGGGCCGTCTGCAACGCCGTGAAGGCCGAAGAGGCGTAT